ATATATATATATATATATATATATATATATATATATATATATATATATATATATATATAGGTACATCAATAAATCTGTAACCTGATTATAAAAGAGCACTTATTTTATGCAATATTTATATTCCAACATAATTTCCTTTTGTTAATGGCCTAAATTTAGTGGTGATTGATAACATAGATCAAACATTATATAATGCAAGTTTCTGATCAATGTTCACTAAGTTATGGTGTTAGACTACCAAACTTAGTGATTCACCCCCAATATCTTTATTCATAAGAGATGTTGAAAAGCTGCAGGATTGCAACAATAATAAATATTTTGCATATTTTTAATGTAACAAGAAACATTATGTCAACAGTTGCTTATCTCATTTTTATCATGTTTCTCTGCATGATTAAAATATAAAGAAGCTTATTTCACACATTGAGCTTGTCTAATGTTTCAACTTTATATTTGTATCAAAGTATATGGGATAGATGTTTGATTTTTTTTTTTTTTTATGCTTATACAAACTGACAGTTTATTCAAATAGACTTTTTAAGTATATATATATATATATATCTCATACAGTGTCCATAAAGTTCGTGTGCACTTTAAAATATTTATAACTTTATTTGTATTTGCGATAGAAATAATCTGTAAAAAATGTTATTAAGTTTAATGTACCTAGTTTTAAGTATAGCTAAAATAACTAATGTGATTTCAGGTATTACTGTAAATCAGTTGGCAAATGTTTTCCGTGAACTGCAAAATTGTATTACTAATGATGGAGGACATGTGGAAACTTAAATAAAATTTCAATAAAACCTTAAAAAATATAGATTTCCTTTCTAATCCTTTTTACAGATTATTTCTATAGCAAATACAAATAAAGTCATAAATTTTTTAAAGTGCACACGAACTTTATGGACACTCTGTATGAGATATATATATATATATATATATATATATATATATGAGAGGGGCATAAATTTGCAGTGTCTCCTTATATAATAGCCACAAATTCAATATCTGCTTCAAGTACTGTATGAAATAATGTATTAAACTAAGGCCTTAATTTTTAAGGGGTAAGTAATTATAATTTTAATTAATGATTTTTAAAGGTTAAGTAATATGTACATTACATCTTAGTAATACATGTCACTTATATAGAGGCCTTACAGCCATATCTCTGTGAAACATGAAAAGTTAAACAATGTTGAGACTGGTCAGTACCTAGATAGCTGACTACTTAGGAATACATATTGCTGTAAGGTTGGATGTGCAGGTGGTGTAATGGATAATGCCTCAGAATTGGAAGTCTGAGAACCAAGTTCCAATTCTAAATGGGTTCATAATATTCACTTACCTGCAAATACTCTTGGGAAAGGTAGGAATACACATTTCTCCACTGAACTATGGGTTAATTATTAGGACTTGTATCATTACCTGCCCAAAATTCTTTCAATTTAAAAATATTTTCTGGCTTGAAATAACCTGCAAGGTTATGGTGTGTGTAAAAAAAAAAAAAAAAAAAAAAAAAAAAAAATCTGTGATATATATATATATATATATATATATACACACACACACACACACACATTGTGCATCACCACTTTGAGACCCTGTTTTTAGCAGACCATAAATGGAATATGATCTTTTGAAATGTTACATGTTTAAATTTTAAAAGATGTATTGAGAGCATTAATATGACAGCTTCCAATCTGGCACAAGAAATAAAAATGGTACACTATGCTTGTGGCACTAGCTACTGACCAAAGTGACCTGGTGATAGTGAACCTCTTGAAAGTGAACAGAAGGAATAACAGGAGCTCTGTGTGGAGCCTGCGGTAAAGAACATTGTTAAGCTGAATTCTGCAACCTCTCACCTGGCCCAAGTGATCCAGGTGTAGTTGGTTGAGAATTTTCACAATCATGTCATCACCCTTCATAAACCCCATATGATCTTAACTGTTTTTAATTTGAATTCCCTGGACTACTATATCCAGGGAAGTCATAAAGAATGAGACCAACCAGTAGCCCCACAATACTAAAGACTCAATGAAGACCTCTACAGTGACCAGCATGAACAAGAACCACCAGGCCCCCCACATAAAGCCACTTCTCAGACTATATCTGAAACTTTTTGAAAATATGCTGATTTTTCTGTCTATATTTCTGAGATGAGGTATTATGTACATTATTTGGACTATTGTCCTCATCTTTATCACCATATTTATTACAATGTTTTGGCCATTGTACACTCCGGCCTTCTTCCTGTGGTTGGAATGTCAAACTGAACCCTTTATTTCACTCACTGGGGTAGATTGTTCTAGCTCCACGTGCCATGTTTAATGGATGTCAGTCATCTCCTGCTAATCTCCCTCTGAAAGTTCTCCACTGCCTTAACTGGGTATTGAACTCACACTCTTTGGATCCTGTCACTGGATCTAACTAACGCCTTTATCCACTGTGCCAATTTAAATAATGATAATAATAATAATCCCTGTTGTAGTTGGAGCCCTAGGACTGGTTGGAAAAGATTCCAGTAGAATAATTGAAGGGATTCCTGGAAGTCCATGCCTCAAGGGGATACAGAAAATTGTTCTGACAAGTACAGCCCACACCTTACGAAGGGCTTTATCTATGTAATCTTTTTTTTTTTTTTTTTTTTTTTTTTTTTGTCAGTGGAAAGTGTCATGAACCTTGGGCGGGACCTGGAAAGAAATGTGTAAACGCCAGAAATCAAAGAAAATAAAAATAATAATGATAATAATAATGATGATGTATGAATTTCTGAAATGAGAAGTTATCATTATTTACATTTGGACCATTGTCCTCATCTTTGTTATTACCACACTGTTTTGATCATATCTAGGGATACCTCCTCTTGTTCTTATTTTGGTTCCTTGATCTTGATCCCCATCTTTATCTTTCCCTCAAACACCCCCTCTTTACTCTTACTATCACTCTCTGTAACCCCCTGTGTGCTAGTGGCACTTCCGCCTTGCTTGAAGTGAAATGCTTAAATAAATAAATATTTAATCTACCCCTGTAAATTAAATATAGGTTTCAGTTGAAAATTCCCTGATGGTTACCCAGATTAATAAGCATCTGAGAAAGGGTGTTTGAAACGTTGTGATAACAAAAAAAACTTGTTATTCTTCATATTATTTGTTCTCAATTACTTGGCACACTATAGGAATATATCTATTCAGGTTGTGTATTATGCAAATATTTAGGCTGATTTGCTGAACAACAAACTGTTCTCTACGGCTATTGTTGCTGTCCCCCATAAGAGTTGCTAGCAACCAACCCTGCTTGTTTTGTTTTTATTGATTTTTCTCACTTTCAAGAACATATGATCAATATGAACGTTTCATGTACTTTTATAGATGATGTGTGACATTTGTGTGTACGTGCATTTGTTTTGTTTGTTTCTCTTTTGTAGTTTAATTTCATTCTGTTTGTAATATTTTTGAATTTCCAAGTAACATTAGATAAAGGACGTGTTTAAAACTAATTTCAGTTTTAAGTAAGATTTCAATAACCATTCTACATACAAGTTTCTCTAGTCCTTCATTTGAACTTTAATCTTTTGATTAACATTTTACAGATCTAAACTCCATCCTGGGTAAGACATTAAACTACGTCCAGCAGCAAGGCCTCTGATCAGGTTTTAAATTGGTAAAAATATAATGAAAAAGATATTAGAAACAAAAAAATCAAATTTTAAATTTTAGTATCTCCTCTCCTTCATTCACATGTGTAATCACATCAACATGAACATCACTTTCATCCGATTAGGCTCTAAATGACAAAACATATCACACAAAAAAATATTTCTCCACTTGTGATTTTCCTAAAATTGTTCTGATATATAAAAATCTATATATCATTTTCCGATACATATACGGCATCCTGGGTAAGACGTTAAACTACGTCCAGCAGCAAGACCTCTGAGGAACGTGGAACCACCTCTTAATTGCTGGTGTTCCCAGGTGCACACTGACCCGGGGTGGTAGCACCTGTTAGGCTCCCAGCTATGGGCAAATAGTTAACTATTATGAGCAATACTTTTCTGAAAAAAAAATTATTACCAGCAATACAACTTTGAAGGAAATATATTATCAGAAACAGATTTTTGACAAAACAAAAGATTACCAGCAATAAAAATTTTTGTCTGCATTAAATAACCCATTGAGGTTGATATGCCGTAAAACAAAATAAACCAAACCAATCTAAACCAAAGAATACATATTCTATTCATACGAATATATCCTAAAAATGTTGTCGGCATTAAGTAACCCATTGAGATTGATATGCCATTAAACAAAATAAACCAAACCAAACAGATCTAAACTCTTAGCTCAAAACTACTTTCTTTTATTTCATTTTTTTTTTTTTTTGTCTTGAAGGCTATTTAAAGAGACCTGCTGTTGAATAATAAATAACAGTGCAAGTGAGAATTCGATCTTTTCTGACTGCCCTACAAGCATAAAGCTTTACCACATTGTGATAATTCACCATAATTTATGATTATCAAGTAGATGCATATCGTATCATTTGATATTTTAATACTGTATTTCATTTTTAAAATGATTTGTTCATTATAAACCTTTCTCACCTCCTTCTTGAATATGCAAGTTCTGTCCAGAATAGATCCAATCCTTTCACATATCTCAACAACCAGTTTTGCTGCCTTAACTTGGCAACAGAGATAAAATTAATGCACATGAACAGATACTCTCTCATTAGGTTACTTAGTCAATAATGAGAGGCTATTGAATGAGTTTGTTTACTGTGTGACTGAGCAAATACATTTGTAATATTTCCAGAGATTTTGGGTAAACTTTTTCTCAACCAGGTCTGTCAGCTTCCCTCCATTCCAGATTCAGTTCTTCCTTGGCTTTCCCAAAGATAAAATGATCATTGAATTATTTTTATATATTGTTTCCACCATTTTTATTTGAATGATAAAATATTTTGTTTTTTTTTTTTTTTTTTTTTTAATCTTTTAGGTGGAACAGTTTCTGAAGATGCTCGGCAAGAATTGCTTGAATGTTCCTGATGGCTTGAATATCTGCCTGAACAGTGGCACTGGCCCTTATCAAAGAAACACTGGTGCCACAATGGGTTTAGCACATGAAAAATTCCTTATCTGTGATGAGGACAAGGCTATCTTTGGCTCCTACAACTATACATGGTCAGCTGCAAACATCAACCGGGAAAATGTGGTGGTCGTCTCTGGCAAGCAACATCCCATCATCAGATCTCTGCTGCAACAGTTCAACAAAATGCAAGAAACCTGCATTCTTTTTGAAACGGACTAAATTTTTGCTTGATCCTTCATGCTGGCTCTACAGACTGGACATTGATTCACCTTCAGATCACAATCAAATTTCTGCTGTTCTAAAAAAAAAAAAAAAAAAAAAGAAAATTTTAAAAAAAAATTAAAATTAAAAAAAAAAGAAACAAAAAAAAAATCAGTGGATCTTAGTTCATTTAATGCCAAAAGATTGAAATCTAGCTCAACTGATACTGGACTGTGTTTCACTTGAGACCCACATTGGATAACCTAGATACAAGCTCATCATATGCCAATAAGAATCAAGTACTTCCGATTCAAATATGCAAGATCCCAGCTCATCCGATATGTGTCTATTAGACCATGGAATATACCTGCATATAAATCCCTGAACCTAGTTCTTGTATCACTAGAGATAGGATCAAGTAAGAATCTTACCTGGCTCATGTATCGCAGATCATTTGAATTCATCTCACTTGCAAATTCAAGAATTGGAAGTTCTGACCTCTGCTGATATCTATATGCCTGATTATGAATTTTCTGTTGGTACCTGATATTCACCTGAGATGATGTGATCCCAACTCATCTTACAATTACTTACACAATGAGAGATGATTGAAAAACCAACCTGTATACAAGATACTAGATCATCTTCTACTTGTGAAACATACCAAACCAGGCTTGCCTTTTTATACGATGCTGATCTGACCATTTATTTATATCATGTTGACACTTTACCTACTGGTATATTTAATAATACCCTCCCACACCTGTGATCATATCCTGTCTACATGTTAGACCTTAGTTAATTAGAGGTTCATATTGTAGCAGCATTTCTCATAAAAAAAATTTACTTGATCTAGGCACATCTAATGACATATATATATATATATATATATATATATATATATATATATATAGCATCTCAAAACCCACCCAACCAAACTCTCCTTTTTTTGGATATCCTTTATTCTGTAAAAGTCTTTTTTTTTTCCTTTTTTTCCTCCTTTTTTTTTTTCCTCCTTTTTTTTTTTTTTTTTTTTTTTCTCCTTTTTTTTTTTTCCTTTAGGCTAGGAGCAATGTCATTTTAAAACCCACATTTGATAATGGTATAAAAAAAAAAAAACATTTCTAACAGTGGTACTTAAGGTGCAAGGCCATCACTTTCTCTGTGTTTTTTTTTTTTTTTTTTTTTTTTTTTGCTATTTGCACGTACCTACTGGGGACAACAGAAGACTCACATATTGCAAGGTTTTCTGGACCTGAATACACTGAAGTAAAGAAAATCTCTGAATTTGTGCTGAAAATGATTCCTTAGACTTTCCTACAGGTAAGGATATCCAAAAAATTAATTTATATAGGCAAGGTTAGGGAGAGTCGTGTGTGTAATATAACTCCTACAGCTCCAAACGTTATTTTGTAGATACACGTTTGAGTAGATGCCCCATTTTTTTAAACCGAATTATATCTACTGGCCTGTGCATTCAAGAGAGTAATCTTAGAAATTACGTTTTGGATATGAAACAATGAGCAGATATGGAACAAAATGATGTGCATTCTTCAAAAGTATTACTGAACTTTGATGGGCTACGAAACTATGTAGCCAAGCAATCTAAAACATGTCAGATCAGATGGTTATTTCTCTGTCAAAGGATGATGCAGGTTCTCTATGTAATTCATGTCGTGTTTTTTAAACAAAAACAGGGGCATCTACTCAAATGTGGGTAACCACAAAATAACTGGTCTAGTAGAAAATAATGTTGGATAAAAAAATCCATTGATTCCTTCAAAATTACAAAACACCCTCTTACTCAGTTCATTTGACCTATATGTTAGATTGGTATAAAACCTCTCTGGTTTATCTGACGCCGGCATACACAATCCCACACCAAATTCTGGTTCTTCTGACTAGGACACAAACTTTGGATTATAATATCTCCTTGCAAAATCTTGGATGATGCCATAAAGTGGCATTTGACACTGTCATGCCTGAACACTGATTCCATTCAACTTACCCACTCTTGGCACCTTCGAAATTTTCTGATAATACTTAGTTCTCTGATCAGACTTTGTAGCCCTCCTCTTGATTAATCATTTCTTATAAACATTTATGTTCATACAAACATGTCTTAAATATTCATTGTATTTCAGATATTTTTAAAAAAAATATATTGCCATTAATTTATTCTTGAGAGAATTTCTAACAAATGGTAAGTCTGCTTAAAGAGAAACAACCATGGAAGCCATCTTTTTACTGGTTTTTAGTTTTATTGATATTTTAATTGCAACATGTATTTTTGGTAATTGTTAGCATTTTCTTTAACTTCATTAAACAGTTTGAAAGAAAAAAAAAAATTTTTTAAATACCTATTTTACAGTTGGGTAACACATTTTAGTGTAACTTGTTAAGCAATTTTAGAAATTTTTTTTTCTTTTCATTTAGCTCTGAATATCTAAATTGAGTCAAATGATTACTTTTTCTTTTTTTTCTTTTAATAACATTAACAATCTTTTTTACTTAGTGGAAAACAAATGCTCAAAATAAAAATAAAAAACCTAATGAAACAAATAAAAAAAAAAAAAAAACATAAGCTTGTCAAACATTTGTTGTAAAACTTACTTTCCTTCTATACAGTTTGTGAACATACCAAGATTAAACTCCTTTGTGTTGCTGATGTTGCTACTAAAAAAGTTTTGGCTGATTCCTTCTCCAGCCTTCTTCAAGTGTATATGAAATATACACCTGAAGCACATCTGATGATATAAGTTGGTATCAGAATGTTCCCTGATTAGGCCTAAAGAAAAATTCCACTATTTCTCCAGTAAATAATATTTCATATACTTCAATTTGGCCACTATTCCTGTAGAATTTGGTTTGTTATGATCCTCTTCTGAAGCTCAAAATTGAGTTTTGAGAGCTGGTGGAGGTAAAACTTTACAAGAAAATGTTGCATGTTCAGGGTTTTGTGGAGATATTTTCTGGCAGTCTCTGTAACTGCTTCCAGTAATGTGAAAGTGGTAATGGATTGTTTGGTGATGGTCCTCCTGGATGTCTTCATGGAGTTTTATTTTTCTATTATATTTTTTTTTTTTTTTTCTGTTTTACTCTGAATGCTCACTATTTTGAACTGGCACTCAACTGGCCTTGATATGCATCTGCCACTTAAAAAAAAAAAAAAAAAAAAACTATTTTAACAAAGAATTTTCGCCTTTTTAAAAACCTGATAACATAATCCAAGGGACTTGGCAGCAGATCTGCTGAACTTTATATCAAATTTGATGCAGGCACATTATTCAAATTTGTCAGCTGTTGTAAAGATTGCAGAGCCATTTCAACACCTTACAAAATCATATGAGCACAAGTAGAAAGCACAAATTCTTTTGCATGCATTTCCATTGAACAGTACAATCATGACGTACAGTCCAGGTACTTATGATGGGGTACTGAAAAGGTCTTGGTCTGACCACTCCCCCAAATCGGTATTCTAATGTTTTGTTGAAATACTGATTTTGATTAGTAAATTAGGCCAAAAACTTTACAATAGCTCCTTGTATATGGACTAGTTTATCTATGCTATCAAAATAGCAATATTTAAGTTTTTGTTTATACATACAATACAATTGTGAAATTACTGTCCATTTGTCTGGAATCTAAAATAATCTAGGAGCAAAAATATCACAAATCCCATGACCCAAAGCAACAGCAGTGTGCCTCAGGAAAAATAACCTGATGGAGCTCTTCCCTCTACAAGCTGGTTTTGAATTCAGTTTTCCTTCTCTTAGGTTGATGTGTGGGTGGTGTAATGGATAGTGGCTTGGAATGAGAAATCAAAGCTGAGTTTGGATTCCAGTCAGGTTTGTTTGTTACAATCACTTTCACTCTTTGGAAAGGTATGAATCCATCCACTCATTCCAGATTTGGGTTAAATACTAATACATCTATCTAGAAAAATCTTTATTTTCCAAAGAATTTCTAATACAATAGTCACTCGCAAAAAAACTAGAGAGAAAATTATTCTTACAATCAAAAATGTTTTGCCTTTAAATAATCCCTCAAAGAGTTTGCCATGCTATTTAACCCATAGTTGGTGGAAAATGAATTCATGCTTTTGCCCAAAGCAAATGAAACAGAATCTAGTGGGGAATTGCACAACCATCCATGTAGCACAGGTAATTCTAATTTATGTTTCATTGGTTCTTTATCTTTTTAAGCAAAGAAAACGTGTCTGTCTTGCATTACAACAATAAGTTGATCTGGCTGGTATATAAACCTCCATATTGTTTGATTTAAAATAAAATAAAAAAAATCCTTTTCTGCCTGTATTTCTAGGATAAATTATTTAAATTTTTTACATTCAGACTATTGTCCTCATCTTTATCACAATGTTTCAGTCATCTTATCCTCCAGCATTGTTCAGGTGCTTGTTAATCTGGGTAACCTTCAGGAAATTTCAAAATGAACCTTTTATCCAATCTACAGAGATAGATTATTGTTTTGCTGTCCATGTCCCTATGATTTAATAGCCAAGTTGATTAAAGCATTAGTTCATGAATTTGGTGATATAGTAATTGGGAGTTCAATCCCAGGATCAGTGGAAACCAGGTGAGCAGTACTAAAATAAGAAAATGATATCACTAAACAAGGACAGCAGAATGAGTAATCTTAACTCCATAGATTAAATAAAGGTTTCAGTTCAAACTTTCCTGAAGAAGGCCAGAAGACAAAAGTGCTGAAAAATTGTGATAATAAAAAAAAAAAAAAGGACAATAGTCTGAATGTAAATAACAAATCATTTCTTTGTTTATAGATTATATGTGAAGACTGTAGAATAAATTAGCCAGCACAACAGGTATGAATGTTAACTGATTATACCTGTTTAGAGGTGTCTGAAGAGTAGTCATTTATTTTTTCTCACAATATTTAAATATTTTTCAGTCAACAATTTTTTTTTTTTTTTAATTTTAAAATGCTTCATGCATTGTTTTTCAATCTTCATTACCATGTGTGGAATCAAAAAAAAAAAAAAAAAAAAAGTCCTCAGCTATCTATCACTAGAAACAGTCTGGCATCTGGGGGTCTGTCTCCCATGCAGAATGTCTCCATGGAACCAACAGGTTAATGTCATATCCTGATGCCTGCAATAAAAGCCTATGGAGCTAGGCCATTTCTATGTGCATCATGGAAAAGTCTGACCTCACATTAAAAATGACTTTTGTTTCATATTTTACCCCTGAAAATTATTTCTGGAATTATTTACACTATTTATATTCAGACTACTTTGGCCATTGTGTCCTCTAGCCTTCTCCAGTGAAGGGTAATCAACAGGGGATTCCAAACTGAACCGTTTATTTAATCTATGGGGACAGAATGTTCTCATTCCACTGCTCATGACAAAGAGAATAGTCCAAATAATAACTTCCTATCCCAGAAAATCGGACAAAAATTTCCGAAATGTTTAAAATTTAAAACTAGGTTAACAGTTTAAAAGTTTAGTTTAAAAAATCCATATAAAAAAAAAATGAATTTTTGGTATTTTCAGGAATAAAATCGATAAATATAAAATCAATTGATAAACTTGTATAATGAATTTTTGGGATAAATAATATATTTTATGAGATTTTGAAACATTAACTCTATATTTATTTTCATTGTAATGTTTTGATCACTGTGTTCTCTGATCCTCATCTGGTGGCATAACTGCTCATACATTTATTGCACCGTTCCTGATATGGCAAAAATTCTTGATTGCTAATAACGAGATAACCATTTCCATACAGAAAATATTTGGTATCCATTGACAGTGTTACTGCCAGTCAAAATTTATAAAATCCTCTTAATAAAACAGTTTTTCAGGAAATTAAACATCTCAAGTCCACGAAATGCTATAGCTCTTTCTAATATTCAAGTCCGTTTCCTTCCAAACATAGAATTTGCTAAATTCTCAGCCCTAAACTTAGATAATCTGCCATGCAAAATGCTGTAGTATTAATCTTGCTAATTCATGTTTTAATTCCAGGACATCCATAATTTCTTACAAAAAAAAAAAAAATGTAATTGTTTCTGAGGGCTTATGACTGCATCATATTGAAACACCAGTTTCCATACAATCACCAAAGTTAAGCAACATCAAGCCTGATCTGTACCTAGATGGGTGACCACTTGGGAATACTAGATGCTATAAGCTTGGTTGTGTGGTTTATATAATGGATAATGGCTCAGAATTCTTAATCAAAAAGCCGAGTTCCAATTCCTGTTGGGCTTGTTATATTCACTTACGCATAAATACCCTTGACAAAGGTATGAATCTACTTCTACACCTGGCTATGGGTTAATTAGTAAGACCTAAATCACTGAAACCATTATTATCTCAAAAAAAAAAAAAAAAATTTCTTACAATCTAAAAATATTTTCCGGCTTTAAATAACCTGCAAAAGTTGATAAACCGTAGAAAATGGATCAATCGATAAAACAATCAGTTACTTTGCTGAAATCTTACAGGATATTCTTTTTATTAGCACTATTTATTTTTTACCTGTGTACATGTTTACATTGGTTGTGTGGTGGTTGTTGTTTGAGATTAAGTGATATCAAGTCTTCTCAAATCACCAGCACCTTCCTCGGTGCAAGAATCTGTGAATACTATCGTCGATAGTCCCAATCCTTCCTTGGCATGGTTCCGTGTGTCAATTGTTATGGACACTACATTTAACTCTTTTTAATAGTTTCTGAAATATTCTATTACATTATTTTCTTTTTTCTTCAATTTGTACTTGTGTTGGGGTTCTCAAAATACTAGTGTGTGTACTTTTTTTTAAGACAGCCTCTGCTTTGTGGTTTATACTGACTGATACCATTTGCTTACATGGTGAAACCTAATTGATTTGCACAATTCCCAGTGTATCTTTGTTCCTACTCTGTCATGCTTGCTTTTATATTTCCTTTGAGCTAGCTTATTGCATTCATTTGATTTACAATCTCAACTCTCTTCATTTTTATTTTTATTTATTTTTTTTTTATTTTTTTACACTTATTTTTATTATAATGATGAAAAGTACATATAATTTTACCAAGTGACATGATTATTGATTTCTCTATGCTTCTGTCACCTGTAGTGCCCGACATACGCAATTTGGTGACTTCTCTTCAGCTAGTCTGGGTGTTTGATCTTCATGTTGTTTGATTAACTGATACAAATCACTTTCTTTGGGCTGCTCCTATTGTACACCCAGCAGCCAAGTATGGCACCATGTGTCACTGTTAGAATCCAGGTAAGTCTGAGTTTCAAATATTATTATAGATCTTCCTGATATGTTAACTGGTTTACAAAGGCACCACATAGCATATGCAGGCATATAGCACACACTTATAATTTGGCAAAGTATATTTAGGAAAATACTAAAACTAATTTGTGTGTAAAAAAAAAAAAAAAAAAAAAAAAAAAATTACTATTTTGATTTGTGAAAAAACAAAACATTTATTCTTGTACCATCAGGAGACTTCTGTGCCAATCAAAGGTGATTAGGTAAAAGGACTGGTAACCTCAGCTTTACAGCCTACTCAACCATCAATGTATAAGATAAAGGTTTTTCTTTTTGTTTAAGTGCGCCTTATATAGTAGAAAATACAATCCTTGTGTATTAGAGAGGCCCCGACAAACAGAAATAAGGCATTAGGTTTCAGGAGTCCCATTTATCTAATCCTAGTTCATCAGATGAGTTTCAAACAAAATAAATTACAACCTTTGTCCAAAGCAATCCATTTTTGACTGCTTAATCTGTGCTTTAAACTACTATTTCAGTACAATGAACTGAAATGACCATCTTTACAAGAGGAGCTAAAACCCTTTCCTTGATCTAAACAGCCGATGTTTTTGTCCATTTCTATGACATTACATTTTGCTATTGGCGTAGCGGGGTGACATTTTCTAATGAAGGCATCTTTCTATCAGTATTATTACATTTCATCTCTTCATCTCTCATGTATTCAAAAGAGTCATGGCTTATTTACTGAGTATGCTTTTCTTTGACCTTAAGTTTGAGTGATGGAGCAAGTTTCTTAACTCTGATCAATGTACTCTGTAGTCATTTTTGTGCTTGTAAACTCCAAAATAGCCGAGTGGTGCAAATATATAATTGGAACTTTGTAGCTGTGGCTCACTTGCTAATAGTGATGGTTTTGTTTGTTCAATTATTACTCAATTGCCTGAAATGTAAGTTTTAGACTCTAGGTAAATCTTTCATGCCCAGTGAAGGTAGTCTTGTTCTTAGAAAACTCATAACACCCAAACTATTCTCTTTACTCTCCTCATTACATCTCAACATGATTTAAATCCAACTCTAGATTCAACATCGAGCTGGTGCATACAGATAAGAGGACACTTTTTTCACAGAACATTATGCTACAATTTAGAACTGGGGTATCAAACTTAAGAGCCCAAAGGAGTCACTATATATATGCAGCAGACCCATTGCCAGGGTATTAGCCATGGGGGTCACTATATGCTGAGGGAGAGGTGCAGCAGACCCATTGCCAGGGTATTAGCCATGGGGAGAGCATCACCCCCAGCTGATGGTGAGGTATCAAGTGAAGAGAGTAGAGGTGCATTTCCTCACATTAAAATTAGTTTACATTGCATTCACAGATGGAGGGGTACACATTTTTGTGGTGAGGGTCAATAAGTTTCCAAAACAAGTCATTTCACTGATGTTCTTATCAATCAAAACTTTTTTTTTTTTTTTTTTTTTTTTTTTTTTTTTTTATGTATATAAAATTGGATATTTATTTCCACTTTTTCTTAACATGAGTTGTCAAATTTATTTCTTATAAAAAAAAAAAAATTCAAAAAATGAGGTTTTGTCACAAAGTATATTTGTACCCTCTCATCGGGTACTTGATGAAGAACATGTGGTAAGAAGCTTACTTCCCATACCTGGAGAGGAACTAGAAAATTGACTCTCTATTTGTACATGGTACTTGGTCGGTAGGTCAAGCTCAATACTGCAATTACAAACATATGCCAGGGGTGAGGGACAAATTTACGAATTTGAGGAAAATATTGGGCATAAAAATGATTGCCCAGAGGCCACAAAAAGATAGTTCATAGGCCACATGTAATCTGTGGGCCACATGTTTGAGACTCCTGATTTAGAATATCTTAATTTAATTAATTTAAATCTAATTAATTTAATTTAGTTTAATTCTCTAAACAGGACTTAGTTCAAAAATCTAAACAAAAACACTTGCCTTAACATAAGTCTTTGAAGTCCTTAACTTATCACCTGGGGGGGGGGAAGTAACATTTTAAGATAAGGATGAGTGAGTCTAACAAAAGAAATATGATTAACTGAATGGTTTTTGATACAGAAAGTGGAATTGGGGAACTAAGTTCAAGTTCCAGACTAGTCTGTTGTATTTACTTATCACTAATGCTCTTGGTAAATGTATGACTCCATCTCTTCTCCCCACCTGCCCAAGCTAGGGGTTAAATAGAATGATAGACTGGGCTCTCTAGCCTTGTGTAGGAGCCAGTCTAGGATAACTATGCCTTCTCCACCATTTTGAATTAAATGGACAAACTAATTAAAAATGATACAAGAATTTTTGAAGAGTCATTAGCACTTTCATTCTGAAGGAAAACACACACACGTGTGTATATATATATATATATATATATATATATAATATAATAAAAGGGCAGCTAGAGTCGCTACTCATGTTTCATTGTCTTGTGATCTTCAGGCAATTAGAATACAACTATCAATATTCTACTCACCTGAAGCTTGTGAAACTTGAGTAGCAACTCGAGCTGTCCTTTTCTTCATTGAGTGTTGACATTATGAAGCATTTTTGCTCTGTCTCGATAGTGTAGGCATTGAGTACTTTAACTTACAACGTTGCCTTTTGTTCTTTTTTTTTTTTTTTTTTCCCTTACAATTTTTTTTTTTTTTTTTTCTTCCCCTTACATTTTTTTTTTTTTTCTTGTCTAACATATTAAGTCATCTGTTAACTTTTCTGTTGGTAACATCAACATTTTTGGTTTTATATATATATATATATATATATTCAAAGTGTAGGAGAATGAAACTTATATATATATTATATATATATATATATATATATGAGTAACACTGTAATTCCCCACCTGATAGGACCTCTAAAACAGGTTTTCCCTTTTTTGACATTGAAACAAAAATGTGCAATTTTGTAGTGGAGATGTGCATGTTCTAATGTAACACTGCATAAATAAATAAATATATACACATACTCTCACACACACGTGTGTGTGTGTGTGCATTTTTAAAGTCTAATTTTATGAAATTTTCTAATTTAAAACAATTGTTCATTTAATCAAGTTTGGAACTATGATAAATCAGTATTTCGTCAAGATGTTTGTCTTGCCTTATGCTGATTGGCAGCAATCTTATTGTAAAATCTTCAGTGTCCAAATTGAACCTGTATATAAAACAAAATCATGTCACAAATGGTAAATTTGGTTAATTATCAGGTTTGCTACAAAACTGGTTAAGACATCCCTGACTCTGTGCTATTTGAAGTTTTATATTAATCAAATCTTTGCTGGTAGTAATTTCAGTGTCAGATATTTATGTACCTCTTTGTGATGGGTTACTATATTTTCATTACATATCTCTTTAATTCATATATTCATCACAAGCAATTTTTTTGCTATTGTCCAAAATAATGACCAAATAAAACGACCAATGAGAATAACTGCTGCAAGCTACTACTTTTTGGTAACAGTTTCTCTTAATGAATATACTTCATTAAATTCTCTTTGCATATTGTCTTCCAATTTTCAAATCCAGCTTTTGATTTCAATAAGAAATGTTGTTTTACTAAGATCAACTGTTTTTTTTGTTTTTTTTGTTAAGGGTTTTTTTTTTTCCTCATCCAGTTCTGTAGGCTGCAAAACCTTCTTTTTTTTTTTTTTTTTTTTTCCCAAAGATACGGTATGAATCTGTTTTGATTGTAGTGGATAAAGGCATTAGTTAGATCCAGTGGCAGGACTGAAAGAGCATGAGTTCAATACCCTTTTAAGGCAGTGGAGAACTTTGAGAGGGGAATTAACAGGAGATAACTGATAACTGACATCCATTTAAACATGGCACGTGGAACTAGAACAGTCTACCCCAGTGAGCGAAATAAAGGGTTCAGTTTGAC